GGGGCGACACATTGAGAACATAGAGAGAGAGATATATAGAGAGCATAGAGAGACAGAGAGACCATAGAGAGAGACATAGAGAACATAGAGAGAGACACAGAGAATATGGAGAGAAATATAGAGAACATAGAGAGGGGCACAGAGAACATAAAGATAATTAGAGAACACAAAGAGAGACATAAGGGCCATAGAGATAGACATAGAGAACATATATAGAGAGAGACACAGAGAACATAGAGAGAGAGACACAGAGAACATAGAGAACATAGAGAGTTACAGTTAACCTGTCATTTATTTACCTTCCCCGACACACCAACAAGGAAATCCTACCTTCCCCGACACACCAACAAGGAAATCCTACCTTCCCTGACACACCAACAAGGAAATCCCACCTTCCCTGACACACCAACAAGGAAATCCCACCTTCCCTGACACACCAACAAGGAAATCCCACCTTCCCTGACACACCAACAAGGAAATCCTACCTTCCCCGTCCCCTCCCCCAGCACTGCGGCCCACATGAGTTGCCGTGGCAACCGGGCGCCATCGTCGACGGACAGGAAGAGGAAGCGGTTGAGATGGTGCACGGCTACTAGGTACATGAGGGGCGACCACGCCGCCTGCACCCACCCACACACCAGCGCCCGCAGGTAGATCCCAACTAACTCCACGTCTGTCTCGTCCGGACACAGGAAGTTCTCCACCGGGATCAGCAACTGAAAAGTTGACACAAAGATTGACACAATGGATCTCTGTCACACACAACACATGTGTATACCTCTGTCACACACAACACACGTGTGCACCTCTATCACACACAACACACGTGTGCACCTCTATCACACACAACACACATGTCACACACAACACACGTGTGCACCTCTATCACACACAACACACGTGTCTACCTCTGCCACACACAACACACGTGTCTACCTCTGCCACATACAACACACGTGTCTACCTCTGCCACACACAACACACGTGTCTATCTCTGTCACAAACAACACATGTGTCACACACAACACACCTGTCACATACAACACACGTGTCTACCTCTGTCACACACAACACACGTGTCTACCTCTGTCACATACAACACACGTGTCTACCTCTGTCACACACAACACACGTGTCTATCTCTGTCACAAACAACACCCGTGTCACACACAACACACGTGTGTACCTCTGTC